CCCCCCCCCCGCCCTTCTCGCACATGCTCAGCCCTGTGAGTGGAAGGGGAGTACACGTGCCGGATGGGGCAAAGCCAGCGAGAAGCCAGAGCAGCAGGTCCATGGGGCCGGAAGCTAGAGGCTCGTCTCTGGTTTCGTTCAGCATCAGCTGAGGACTGACCCCCGGTGCAATGGTGAGAGGAAGAATGATCCCAAACCCTGCGCCGGGCACCCCTGCGCCAACAGGAGATGATTTGCTTGCCTGTGGCGCTCAGGAGCAGAACCTAGAGGGGGAAGGACATGGAGCCGGTATCGGGGCCAAGGCAGGGTGGGTGGAGGGGCAGGGAGAACTAGAGACGCATCCTAAGGCTCCAGACACCCCTAGGCAAAGACTGAGGGCTTGCCTACAGGTACAGCACCTGCTACCTAGAATCCTAGAACCCTGGGGTGGGCTGAGCCCTCAGAAGCCATCACGTCCGGCCCCTGCCCAAAGCAGGACCAGCCCCACCTCGATCACCCCAGCCGGGGCTGTGTCAAGCTGGGACTGACACACTTCAAGGGACGGAGACTCCCCAGGGAACCCGCCCAGGGCAATGGTTTTTCCTGATCCCCAACCGAGACCTCCCCCACTGCAACTTCAAGTGAGCTCCCTTCTCGCCCGCTCTGAGTATGGTGCGATTTGGAAACGCCGGTTGTTCCGGTAGCTGGCCAAGAGCGGGATGTGCCGCGCTCGGTGACCGGCTACGGGCTGGTGGGGGCAGGTTACCGTGGCGTGGAGGCTGAGCTGGCTCTGTTTGGCTTCCGTGGGCTTTCAAACTAGAACTGGGTTTGTTACACGGCCTGGGGGCTGGGGGAGAGGAGGCCCGACACCTCCAGCACTGGTGAGTCCCAGTTGCGGCTCAGAGCCATTGTGCAAGGGGCTGTACAGACACACAACTATGCCAATGAGAGCTAGTCTTGTAGGGAAGGGCGTAGCCCCCGTGGCTCACGGGACACAGGTTGCCCACCCCTTGCGTTAGGTCTCCCGTTTGTGGAATTAAGCTGCCAAGTAAATTCCTGTTTGCAGCCCCCAGGCAAGTCACTGCTCTGCCCCATGCCTCAGTTTCCCCACCTGGAACACGGGGCTAATGATATTAGCCTCCTTGTAAAGTGCATTGAGATCTACAGCTGAGAGGAGCCGGGATTAATTATCGTTAAGAGCTTTCCCTTGATCCAGCCTTGGCCTCACAGCCTCCACCCACAGCGTAAGCCTCCCTCCTTCCCCCCCCTCCCCTCTCCGCCAGGCAAGGCAGCCATCACCTCCACCCCTGGGAGGAACAAACCGACACTCCCCCCTCAGCTTTGTTGATGGGGGGGCGGGTTTGTCCTTTACATAAACTGCTCTGACTCAGAGCCGAGGGGAATTCCCAGGACCAGGCAGCGGGGTGGGGATGGGGATGGGGATGTGGAGGGGCATTTGCGGGGGGAGCCCCAGGCTAGGACAGTGAACAGTCAGGCCCAGCTCCTCCACGCTAATCCGAGCCCAGCCCCGGTCTCTTGTCAGCCCAGCAGGGTGGGTGAAGGAGGCGCTAAGCCAGCTTTGAGCTCCCTGGTTCTGGGGCCTGCCTGGCTACTGCCAGCATGGGTGGGGGGAGCCATTTGTGGGTCGGGGGCTGCACACGTATGAGAAGCAAAAAACAAACCCAACCCCGCACTGATGTGGCTGAGAAGGAGAAAAACCCTCCCCGTGTTCCCCCCCCCACACCAGAGCAGGGGGGGGCTAGTCGAGTTTGGCCCCTCAATGGGGGGACTGGAGCATCAGCACAGGCTCCCCAATGCTGAGGGGGGCTCCATGAGCCTCGGGGGCCAGATCCAGCAAGCCAGGGGCTGCCATTGGGCCCCTGGGCCTGAGGGTCCCCACCCCATCAGGGGGAGCCCAGAGCTTACATTCCTGGCCTATTCTGGCAGCGTGGGGATTGGCCCCCTTTCTCCTGGGAACTCCCCCTATGCTGGGGGGGAGCGACAAAGAGAATCATGGAGGTGCAGGGGGCTAGGCCCCCAGAAGGTCTGTGCTGGGGAGGGGCAATCCCCAGGAAGCCAGATCCCATGGCTCCACAGATACTGTGCCCCACCAGGCTCTGGCCCCGAACCTTTCTACTCTTTTATAGGGACGTCAGTGCACAGAGCAGGCGGGAGCCAGGACTCCCACCGCAATCCACTTGAGTGGATTTTCTCCCGAGCTGCACACCCACCAATGAGCAAAGGCCAGGCCGCCCCCGCCCCAGCCTCCTCCGAACCCCTCTCCCACAGATCCACACCAGAGCAGGGCAGAGGCTTTTGCCAGTGTCCCGGAGCTCTGTACACCCCCTCCCTTTCCCACGGGACCAGTAGGCACACACGGCGGGGGGGGGCGGGAAATGTGGCCACACGCAGGGACCTGTTGGAGAACACTTTAATCCGCCTGGACACTCGTTAACGGATCCCCAAGTCACCCTGTTCTTGCAAGCCAATTCCACAAGCCAAATACACAGGGGAGGGTTGGAACTTAACTTTGTTTACAAATTTGACTCTTATCAGATTGGAATGATCAGGGACAAGGCCAGCACAGACCTTCCACACCCTAATGACTTCACCAAACCACCCACCATGCAATGGAGGTGCTAATTGTCCTCATCGCCTCTTGTAGCTTAACTGTCTTTTTTCTTCCTCCTCTCCCCCCTTCCCTTATTTATTCCTGGATCTGGACTTTCAATATTCCAGTCATCCGAAGAAGTGGGCTGTGCCCACGAAAGCTCATGCTCCCAGCTCCATGTTTTGTTCGTCTATAACGTGCTACCAGACCATTGGTTGTTTGTTACATTTTTCCAGTTACAGACTAACTCGGCTCCCTGACAAACCCGTGTCAAAAACTTGCATGGAATTTCCCTCCCGAAATCTACAAAGGGTGATGGTCTGGTGTGAGCAGCAGGCTCAGGTTTGTCTCCCATGAAGACCAGCCTCAGTCCTTGACCTAAATTCACAATTCAGGAGCCGCGGAACTAAACTCGCTATTAAATCTCGGATTTCTTATTTACTCAGATGTCTAAGCCTCTGGCTAGAGGGGGGGTTGGCTAATTAGCGCTGAGGGCAGGGCCACACCTGATACTCTATTTGTTGTTCTAACTTCTAACCTAGCCACCGAGGTGTCGGGCAGCATAGAAAACTTTGCCAAACTTTTCATAGGAAGCAGCACAGTGGGAAGATAGGGTTCTGGCCTGCTCCTAGGTTCTCTTCCTGTCCCCTGCTGTGAGGCTGGGCGAGGTACTTCATTCCCCACTCCCTGCCTCAGTTTACCCCTCTGTAAAAAAGGCAATAAGAATAACACTCACCCTCTTCTGCAAAGCACTTTGAAATCCTCACGAGAGGTGCCATGGATGTGTGATATCATAACGGCAGCACCTTCCATCCCCGTGCCAAGCAGGTTGCACCAGTTTGCTTTAGCTGTGGCCATGCGGAGGCAGAAGCCAGCCCAGCTTCAGTATCTGTCTCACAAGTACTTCACAAACCATTGCTTGCGTGAATTGGGTTTGACTCCCTTTTCTTGTCACTGAAATAGGTGCAGGCCGGTGGTTTCTCTCCCTCCAGGCTCATCTGGGCCAAATCTGAAATCCGGGGCTGTTTGGCCCTTTAAGCGACAGGACTTTACGGGGCAGCCCCAGCGATTTCAGAACTCTGAGGCTCCAGCCACCCTCCCGTCAGAATAGAGGAGCCAGATTTCTCCCCGACTGCTGAGTGACTGTGCCTGTCTGAAGCATTGTTCAAACCCACTTTTGGGGACCCAGGCTTGGCATGGAAACTGAGGCACCAGCCCCACCTTGTGGTACAGGTGAGAACCGCAGGAGAATAAGACCCAACCAGGTTCAACCCCCTCCAGCCCCATTTCTTTGCCAGGTTTCAGAGGTGGCCATGTGAGTCTGTTGCAGCAAAAACACGGAGTCCAGTGGCACTTGGAAGACTAGCCAGCTTCTTAGGGCTTTGGGGCCTGAGCGTTCGTAGCTAGAAATCTCTGCCGCAGAAAAATAGAAACCAAACGGCTATGGCGCGGGGAGCTCCTCATCAGTGCCAGGGAAGTCACAGGGGATGCGGCTCATCTCCAGTGAGACGGGGAGTCACTTAACCAATTTTTTAGCTGGCTGGCCAGCAGCCCGGCTCAGTCCTGGCTCATGCCGGGTCTGGGACAGAGCCCTGCTGCGGCTCTGTGTTTAAAGGGTATTAAGGAGCAAGGCGGGTAGGCAGCCCGGCTCTGTTGCAGCTCTCGCCGGGTCTAGGAGATCAGCCCCCCTGGACAGGGGCTGCCATCACCCCGCACTGCTGCCGGCCCCGCCTGGGGGCTATAGACTAGTTGAGTAACTGATAAGAATTCATGAGGTCAATCGACTAATCAATTAACTGATATTTAACTCCCTAGAACAGGGGCCTCCCTGCCTTGCCCGTCTCTCACGCTCTCCCACTGCTACTTTCTCCCTTTCACCCTGCCCCAGCCTTGCTTTCTGGCCAGCTCCTTTCCAGGTGATTGTCAGAGTCCCTTGGCCACTGGTTCGGCTCCCACGTCCGCGGTTCCCAGAGCTGGGCAATCAGCCAGCCCGGAATTCAGCAGGGGCAAAAAACCTGCCACTCTGGAGACCCAGGTCCTGGCTCCCTCCAGCACAGGTGCCCCATCGTCTGTTATCCTATCCTGGCGGAAGCTTTGCGGAGCAGGAAGTTCACACAAAGGTCCCCGCAGTTCGGCAGAGACAGAGGCGGGCAGGGAAGGGGATTTCTGGATTGTTTGCTCTTCAGAGCCGATCGGATGGGCTGGGGAATGAACTCTGCCTGCCCCGGCAGTTGGAAGGACAAACACAAGCTGCAGAAATCCCCTTCCAGGCAGTCCCCAGGCTGCCTGTGTTGAGAAATCATGAAATTTCCCTCAGGCCCTGGCACTGCAACAACCAAGCCCCCAGCAGCTGTTGCAAATTTACTCCCAGCTTTCTCTTTCCTGGAAATCAACGTTCCCCCTTCTCCCCCCACCCCCGGAGCGCAGTACAAAAGGCAGATCTCTGCTCTCCCCAAGCAGGGACACCTCTACAGGACAAGACACAGCTCCTGTGGTAGACTCATCTGTGGGCGTCTCAGCAGCTGGCATGGGTCACCTGTCACCTGTCCTCGCCCTGGTGGCTTTGCTGGGCATCTCGGCCTGTGGTGAGTGCGCCTCTTCTCTCACACCCTCCCTCTCTTCTGTTCTCTTCCTTGACTCCTCCGAGCCTAGCAGAGATGCGGGTGGGTCCTTGCGAGGTGGATGCCGCAGGGCAGCCTGGCTGCGAACTGACACAATAAGCAAAGCTGCTGGGTGTCCAGATGTTTCCTTGCCACATTGAAGGGTGACAATTGAACTTTATCGCATCAGCTGACGGCCCTGGGGGATCTAGTACATTTCACTGCTCTCTAGCCTAGCCCCTGCCGGCTGGGGATCTCTGAGCACTCTCCCAGCACGCCCACATGACAGGGAAACTGAGGCCTGGGGCTGCAGAAAGCTTGGATCTAGCTCACACTGTGAATCAATGTCACAGACGCCTGATGCCCCAAACTTACCGGCAATGCAGCTTCTTCAGTCTCTGGCTCCCAAAGCCATGGGCTAAGGCGGCGTCTCAGGACACATCTCCCAGTGGCAGGGCTCCTTTTCCAGGCCGGAAGGGATCTCTGGACTTAGCACAGACCAGAGACCCTCCGCCAGGTGGGGAGGGGAGGCAGCTTGAGACAATGCGGGTGAACGGAGGGAGAAATGTTTTGCTGCGGCAAAGCCGGCAGAGGGCTGGTGTGTGGACAGGCGGGTTAAATGCGCTGTCCATTTGCAGAGAGATGGGGGCTGGAACCCACTAGCTTTCCCCACTGTGGGTGTGTTTTCTGAAATGCAACTTGACTCCCTAGAAGCCAAAGAGCATCCTGGGGCATGTGTGGGCGGATGCTGGTCCTAACCCCTCGCGCGTTTTATCGGTGGATCTCAAAATGCTTTCCAACGGAAAGAGGCAGGATCACCATTTTACAAATGGGGAAACTGAGGCATGGAGCGGGGACGTGACTTGCCCAAGGTCACCCAGCAGATTGGTGGCAGAATTCAGGTCTCCTGAGTCCCAGCAGGCACTACAGCCTCTCCTTTGATGCAGACACCCTGGTCACTGTTGCTGGGTGAGATCTACCCCAATGAGGCTAAGATGGGTTGGAGGGAGCTGGGGGCATTACCCAGCTTTTCCTAGGGGTCACGTATCCGAATCAGCTGTAGATCTGTCCCAGGGCGGATTCCTGACTATGGGCTAAGGCCTCCTGCTGTTCTCCCGGGCACGTCGGCGATCCATTGCCGCAGAACCTTCGGAGAAGTCTTCACCCCGCACACCTGGAAACGTCTCGCATTTCGTACCCGGGGCTTCCTTTCTCGTTTCTTCTTCACGTTCCCGAAGGGGGCACAGGGGTTTGTCCCCTCCGATGCTCCAGGAAAAAACCACACGCTCGTCCAACCAGAGCTCCACGTCGGCTGCCGGACAGCTGCACCGGGGGGCCAAGAGAAATGATTTGTGACTGCCCCTCATTATTTGCATAAGTGGGGTGAATGGCTCCACCCCTTGGTTTGAAAATGCCAGGTGGAGGGGGGCAGAGACAGATGCTGCCCCACGGTTCCCCCTTGCACCCCTCCCTTGCAGAGGGGTTGCTGTCTTGGCTGATTCTGGGGGCGGCAGGACCATAACAGCAGTGCTGATGGAGGGCTGCGATGCCCCATAGCCCGGCCCTCCAGGGCCCCAGTGCCAGCTGCATGTGTTGGCTCCTGTAGGAAGCTCCTCGCTGGACAGCTACTGTTCTGCTCCGCGGCTGCTGGCCTGGGGACGTGTGGCCGCACAAGGCCTGCTGCCCTGCCCCCTGGGTGGGGGTGGCGGAGGGGGGCAAGGCATGGGAAGGGGGCAGAAGGCTGGAGGAAGCCTGGGCTGGATTCTCAATGGCCCAAGAATTGCTCCTCTGGAGGAAGCGAGGGACAGAGGCGTGACCCCCCCCCCCACTGAGGGCTCCGATGGCAGCCAGGCCGGGCCTACCGGCTGGGAACGCCAGAGGCGCGGCGCCAATATTAA